GGAGCAAAGGAGAGACAAAGGTGGGGTAAATGTTAATGAGTAAAAACCAAGGTATATAAATATGAAACGAAATCATATTCACTGCAGCTCCCCTGTTTATTGAAGCTGGCCCGAAGCTGTCTCCACTTGGAATAAAGCAGTTGACAAGCAATTTGTGCATCGATCCATTGCCTCCCTAGTTTTGGGCATCGCATAGAGTCGGGGTCTAACAACCAGCTCAGGGGGTGGCAGTAGCAGCTCCTGGCAGACCCCACTGGGCATGGGCAGCACTGGGAGAGGGGTGATGTCGGGGTGAGGAAAGGCGAGGTCAGGGAGTAGGGTAGGGAATGCTGCCCAGCCAGAAATGCACTCCTCCCTCCAACTCAGGGGCTCATATACCAGAAGCCCTGGACCAGGAGGAAGGAAAAAGCTGGGAGGCAGCTAAGGAAAGTCCCTGGGTGTCATTTCAGGCCAGCTGTCTGGGGGAGGGCACCCTACCGTTAAGGCACTTCTTCCCCTGAGAGTACTATCTGCTTTTAGGGAAGGATGGGGAATGCACAGGCTCCAAGGCTGATGCAAGATCATCTCCTCTTCTCCTTTCCCCTTATGGGGGCTGACTTCTACCTGAGGTGTTTCTCCTTAGCCCCTCCCCACAATCAATCCTTGTGGGCCAGCCTCTGGGCTCTGGACTCCCACTGTACCCTACAAGGGACACAGCCTGGGGGAAATGTTTCTGCAGACCACCGGCATGGGGGTGCTTGTCTGAATGCAGCACTGGTGGGTGCTGAGCAGGCAGACATCTCCAAGCCCTTCCTGCATTGCTGGCAGAATTAGGGATGCTTTTGGGTGTGCATGTGCTGATTCCAGGACAGGTGGGAGAGATGGGTGAAGCTTTTCCAATACTCAGAGCACCGATGTAGTTTCTCCCGTGTAGATGCACTGGTGTTCAGCACAGGCTGCAGGAGTAGGTAAAGCTCTGACTATACTAAGAGCAATGACGCGGCTTCTCTTCTTTGTGGATGCGCTGGTGCTGGGCTAGGTGGGAGGATCGCGCGAAGCTCTTTCCACACACAGAGCACTGATATGGCTTCTCCCCTGTGTGGATGCGCTTGTGCTCGGCCAGGTGGGAGGAATACCTAAAGCTCTTCCCACACTCAGAGCACTGATACGGCTTCTCTCCTGTGTGGATGCGCTGGTGCACGGTCAAGGAGGAGGACGAGGTGAAACTCTTCCCACACTCAGAGCACTGATGTGGCTTCTCCCCCGTGTGCATCAGCTGATGCCGGACCAGGACAGAGGACCAGGTGAAACTCTTCCCACACTCAGAGCACTGATGTGGCTTCGCCCTCGTGTGGATCAGCTGATGCCGGACCAGGCTGTCGGATGAGGTGAAACTCTTTCCAAACACAGAGCACTGATCTGGATTCTCCCCTGTGTGGATCAGCTGATGCCGGATCAGGGCAGAAGACCAGGTGAAACTCTTCCCACACACAGAGCACTGATGTGGCTTCTCCCCAGTGTGGATGCGCTGGTGCACAGTCAGGGAGGAGGATAGGGCGAAGCTCTTCCCACACACAGAGCAGCGATGTGGCTTCTCCCCAGTGTGGATGCGCTGGTGCACAGTCAGGGAGGAGGATAGGGCGAAGCTCTTCCCACACACAGAGCAGCGATGTGGCTTCTCCCCAGTGTGGATGCGCTGGTGCACAGTGCCGGACCAGGTTGGAGGACCAGGTGAAACTCTTCCCACACACAGAGCACTGATGTGGCTTCTCCCCGGTGCAGATGCCCTGGTGCTGGGTCAGGTTGCCATAATGGGTGAAGCGCTTCCCACACTCAGAGGACTGACGTGGCTTCTCCTGCTCGTGGATCAGCTGATGCCGGACCAGGTGGGAGGGGTAGGTGAAACTCTTCCCACACACAGAACAGTGATATGGCTTTTTCCCCTTTTG